TTGCAGTTGTCCCAAAACTTGTTGGCATGTCTTTCAGGCTCTATGTAGTTAAACCTGAGGAACTGCACTTCAAACGACTGGTCCAGTATATGGGATCAGTACATCTTTTGGTTCAAGAGTGGTCTCATAATACATTGTTAGTACACCACTTTGTTCACAGTGGCACAGACAGAGGAAAAGGGGAAGGTAAATTCTGCTGTTTAAAATTGCAAAATACAGCACAGCAGCAGTTACTGAACTTGGTAAATCAGTCAGCTTGTGCTTTCCCAAACTAAACGTATAACTGTATGACAATTGGTGATCTTTTTTTAGGTCAGGTAAATATGATAGATATTTCTCCCAATATTTAAATCAGGGTTTTATCACAGTTGTATCAGAAGGTATCCCAGTGGACAGAGAAAACTCCTTTTGACTTTAATTTGTCACAGGGTGGGGTAGACTGTATGAGTATAAAGCTTGACACTGTCAGGAAAAGAGAATATGTGCTTTTGCAAATGTATCTTGGATAGGGATTTAAAAGAAATGAATTCATCCTTCCTGCATCATCCGCCCTGACAGAGCTTAGCTTGTCTGGACCTATTCAGATTAGTTCTCCCATTCAAAAGAACTGCTGCAGAAGAAGCCCACTGCCTAAATTATTTTCCCTTTGTGCATACACTTCAGTGGGTTTCTGTTTTTGAATTATTGTTGATGGTGCAGGGAATATTGGTCGGGCCCAAAGTACCCTAATGCAGTTATATTGCTGTGATAGCAAATTTTTTCATAAAAGTAAATTTAGTCTAGAGTTTCAGCTATAATATATATGTTTGATCCAGTTGGCGGTGTTGATTTATTGTTTCAACATTCCTGATAAAATGTCTCTATCAGACCAGTAGACTGTAATTCATTGGATTTCATTAGTTGTCCATGCATCAGTGGACTAATAATAGCAGCTCTGGCTGGCTGGAGAAACACAGTTCCCCGTTCTGACCAGTTGGTGTCAGCAGTGGCAGTCACAGCATTCCTGACCCAGTTAGCTGAATGATGCCGCTGTGTTTGAATTGTGACCCAGTGGAGGTAATCAAAGCCTCACCGACCATCCTTTTGTGGTAGACTCTCATTCCTCTGAATGGGAAACGGAGGGGATGATCGTCTAGTTATCAAAAGACTGGCAGTCCCTGCTGTTGTCTGCATGTGGGATGTGGTGGGCACAATCCATTTTTCACACCAGCTGGCTTTGAGTGTTTTAAATTCATTTTCATCAGATCAGGAAATGTCCACCAGTTAAATGCTAAATCTGACCACTAGGGTGGTTTGTCCACTTTACAGAAACACTGGTGGGGAGACCTGCTATGATGTTGAGAGACTGGCCTTCTCCTAGAATCTATTAAGCTTTGGAAATGGTGAATTTTATGAGGTGCAAGACACAATGGTCTAAGGGCAAAGGGGCTTTTCTTCCTGGATTCTTCCTTCCATATGCTGGCATATGCTATCAGTTGTTATCTTTTCTTTAGAATATCTGTGATTGATACCAAGCAGTGCTCAGTGTAAGTCAAGGATGGGATGATATGAATATTGAACAGTTTGGTTCCTTGTGGTGTTTCTGCTTTTATGCTCCTCTTCTCACCTCACTGTCAACACACTACCATCAAGTCTTGTGGAGTAGCTCAGCTTGGCCTTCTCTAATAGACTGTCCTTCTCCTCCGACCTCCTCCTCTTTTATCCTTCTCCTCATTTGTCCTCTTGCCGAAGGATGGCCACACTCCTCTCACGCTTATTTTCAGTTGCCTAGCAACCAGAAAGAGATGCTTTTTCGGGGTGGTACTTTGTGATGGAAGCGGGGGCGGGGTGAGGTGTGCTTTGTTCAGGAATAAATGGCTCATGAATGCACTTCCACTGTAGAGAGGCGGTGAGGAGGACTGTTTTAAGTAAAGCATTCATTGAACGACAGCATTGTTCCATTACTCAGTGTCTGACTCAATTAGCACCCCCATTCACCTGGGCTTCACCACTGTTATGGCAATAGGTTTGCATCCTAATTATCAGTGTGGCAGTGAGAGTAGGCCTGGTGCCAGTGTGTGTAACCAAAGGTCATGTGTGACTCAGGAGGCTTTTACATCAGGGACCTCGTTGGATTATTGTGACCACTATGTACTGTACCCGGGAACGGTAGGGTCACTTGAAAAGGTGGTTTTGTGTACGGTTCCTGTGTACTTGGGTAAGGTACATATCACGTGCAAAAACAACCCTACCAAAACACAGAAGTCAACTGCCGTTTAGATCAGGGCTGCCCCTGACTAAAGAATTTCCTGTAAATCAGTCAAATCTGTTGGTCTGCTCCAGTTCTGCACATTTCGGCACCGCTCGTTAGCAGCATTCCCTGTTTGGTTCCTCGCCAAGAAAAAAGTTCCATGTTGCAACTATCCCCTCTTACTTTCGTTCTGGTGACAAGGCACAGCTCCCGACAGAGTTTGACGTTTTTTCTCAAATTTCAAACAATCTTTAATATCAGTGGGCTACTAATGATTTTCACTTGCTGTTCTGGTAACATATTATAGGACTTAAGTGTAGTATCCATAGTGTTTCGGGCTGCACCAGCAGCCAAATGCAAATAAAATGAATATGGAGACCATTAGCAAGCTTTTTGGGTGTATTTTTTATTTTTTTTCTGTTTGAGGTTTTCCCACTTTTTGTACACAGATAAGGTGAGAATAATGGTCCAAAATGAAGTAAAGATGTACTTTTTTTTTTTTTTTATTGAAGAAATTTCCTTGGTGGAGGATTCCCAAACCGCTGCTGAAAAAGATTCTCGGGGGAAGCACTGCACTCTGTACTGCCAGATGTCCAATTATTCAATTACTCAAGTAGTTTAGATCAGAAAAAGACGAGAGGTGCTGTGTGGGTTCTTGTTCAGCCTTAAAATGTGTGAATTAAAGTAATTTGAACAGGAGCTGCATTGACAGTGTAGTGTAGCAGTAGTACAAACAGAGAGTAATACATTTTAGTGTATTTATCTAGTTGCGAGTAATAAGAAGTTGCCAGGGCAGACCGCGGTCGTATTTAATGGTTAAAATGAAAAACGTCCCTGCTGGTAGCTTCATGAGTAACTTGATGGTATGCCAAAATGTAACCTGTCTGTTGTTTGGGACCCTCGAGTGACACTTCTTCTGTCTAGCTGAACACATCATGTCAGTTTCAGGAGTCGCATTCTGTTCTGAGTGAATCTAATGTTCATATCATATCAATAATTTAAGCTTATACGTGTAATACTTTTGAACCAGGACCTTCACTATTTGATCAAGTTACTCGTGAAAAATATGGTGTGTCAGATTAAGTAGGCCACAGCTGTTAATTCAGTATTTCAGATTAAATATTTCTCTTAAAATAAAGTAATCGACAGAACCAATATTAATGGACTTGGATCAGGGCCAAAAAAACCTGATGAGGACATCCCTAATTTATATATTTGAAATATTTTGTAAGACAAACCATTTTTTAGCAGTGTAGCATGAGTAGAGACGGGGTCTCTTGCCTGCGCATGAAGGACAAAGACGCGGGGAGAAGAGGAGGAGGGCGACTGGGAATGAGACACAAAAGAATAGAGGTCTCCGTCGGTACACGCTCCTCTATTCAGCAGCTGAGCTAATCCGAATGCTAGCTAGCTTCAACCCATTCACAGTGGGGGACACAAGGACGTCCAGCTGACCTCCCATCTATCTAGGTTAGCAGGATGTTGTAAAGACTCACCACTGTACCCATTCATGCGCTCAAAGCTGGCCCAACGTGTAGCACTGCTGCACAGTTACTGGGTTATGTGTGCGCCTTACTACATTTAAAGGCTCCATGCTCCAGGCTTCATTAAAGTTTTACAGTATGCATCAATAATGAGACTTATCACTTGCAGCATGTTCACTACAACCACTTCAGGGTATCTATGAATCCTGAAAGAGGCATAAAAAAGTTTAATCATTTAGATTTAGAGCTCTGAAAATGATTGTGAGTGGCCATTGCAACATACCATGATTTGTGTACAGCAGTGGAGCTGCACTGGTCAGTCGATCAATAGAAAATTAGTTGTTTCAGTCAGTCTATAGGCAGAAAATGCCAAACATTCTCTTCTCTTCTCAGACGTCAGTTTACATCTATAAGCTTGTTCACTGAGCCTAATCTAGTGTAACTTGTAGCCGTCTAGCTTTCTTCATTATTTTGGTTGATTGTTTTGATTTGCATTTGCCGATTGCAAATGGTACACAGAAGTCTTGAATGTTTCTCCCTGGAACCTGTGGATACCATACAGATACAGAGGGTCACATACTCTCTGATTGTGTATGCATCCTGTGGATGGAAACATATTCAAATACACCACAGTGTATGTGTACACGTATATTTTGCTTATGCATGAGATATTAAAGGAGCTGAAGGTTACAGTCCGAGACACAGGTTTATATGTCCGTGTAAAGATTTTTCTATGATATTTGCAGTTAATCTCAATCTATCGCAGAGCAAGGATGAGATGTGATACAATATAACATATATATTTTCTATAGTCATTTTACAGGGTTATGCAGGTCAGGTTTGACTGATGATGTTGTGATTACAACAGAAAATATGCTGTGTGGCTCCCGTGTGTGTCTGTGTGTGTCTGTGTGTGTCTGTGTGTGTCTGTGTGTGTGTGTGTGTTGCCTTAACAGCAGTTAAACACACAGCAGTCTCCAGCGCTCTGCTTCATACTCGTTTCAATTTGTCGAACTGACAGACTGCAGCCCCCTGCCCCCCCCTCATTGCTCCTTCCAGTGTGTGTGTGTCCTCTTGTATCCCGGTTGGCTTTTCTTTCCTTTTTTTTTTTTTTTTTTTTTTTTGTAGCTCAGAAGTAGACAAACCATTTTGATTGGCCTGCTTCCCTCCTTCCCTCTCTTTTTCTCCAGTGCTTCCTCAGCCCCAGCTGCCGTCATCCTCCCCCTCTGTATCTCTTTATCTGCCCCCCCTTCACCGTCTTGCCCTCCCTCGTTCTTTTTCTTTCACTCCCTTTCTTTTGTCACCTTTGCTTTCGCCTCCTCCTTCCTACCTCCTCTCCTCCTTTCTCACATCTTCCCCCTTTTCTTGCCCTCCTTCCTTTATTCATCGCCTTTTTGCTTCTGCCCTTCCACCTCTCCTTCTACACTCTTTTGCACTGCCATCGTTTACGTCTTACCCTCCATTTTCCTCCTGTTTCTCCTTATTTCTCTTTCCCCTTCTCCCTCCTTGCCTCCCTCCCTCTCTCCTCTCTCTTCATCTGGCAGCAGTAGTCAGTCAATCTTTTTACAGCTCTCTCTCTCTCTCCCCCTCTCTCTCCCCCTCTGTTCTGACGTCACTGGCTGTTTGCATAGCTATTGTCTTACAGCGGCTGCAGCGGCAGCGGCTCTTCACCAGATTTTTAGTCTTTCACTCCCCCCTTCTCTCTCCTCTCCCCGGGAAAGCCTCTCTCTCTCTCTCTCTCTCCCCCTCCTCCCCCCCCTCTCTCTCTCCATTAGTAAATCCTACAGTGGAATGAGAAGTGAGAGAGTGACGGTGAGGAGAGGATGAGAAGCAGGATATAGACTGCAGAAAGAGGAGAGATGCGATAGCCAGCCACAACCGCATCTCTGTGTATGGATTTGACCACATTTTGCCTTAGATGTGCAGGTTTTCTGCTTGTTTTTATTTTCTATTTATTTATTTATTGATTTAATCCTCCACAAGGCCTTTTTTTTTTTTTTTTTTTTTTGCGGCCGGACTAACTGAGCGTGTGTGCGTGGAGGAGGGCTTTTAAAGCAGCGACGGATAGCGGAGCTGGGGCATCTGGCCATCTGGGAGGCAGCAACGGCCGGCTGGCTGCATTGTGTTGCTTTGATGACCCCCGCTGTGTAGCTGCCTGCTCATCAACCTCCTCTCTCTCTCGCTCTCTCTCTCTCGCTCTCTCTCACCCTCCCCATTCTCTCTCCTCTCTTTCCTCCTCCTCCTCCTCCTCCTCCTCCTCTCCATCACAGCTCCCGGCCCAGCCATGTTCGGCACAGAGTCGTCATGTAAGTACCACCACCATCCTTTCGCCTGCTCTGTGTGTCCATGTTTATGTGTCTTTTTTATGTTTATGTGTGTGTTTTATCAGAGGGAGAGGAGGAAAAGGAAATAGCTAGGTTTCCTCTGTTCCTGCATCCCTCCTCTCTCCTCTCTCTTCTTCCTGTTTTGCCTCCATGGTTGCTGGTGGCAGATTGCATGGGGAGAAGTCTGGGATCTACCATTTTAGCACGGAGGGTCGTCGCTACAAGCTAGCTGGTCACGCTGCGCTTACCGCCTGCCTTACATTCTCTCACTCTTAGCCTTACCGTGCGCCTGTGTGTGTATGTGCGATCATCTCTGTATGTACTTCAGTCCTCTTGAGTGTAATGGAGTGCCGGTTGAATACTGTTTCAGCGTGTCTTTAAGCATGTTTGCGTGTGCGTGTGTGAGTGTGAGTGAGTGAGCATGTCAGAAGATGGATGCTTTTGCAGGAGTTGCATAGTTTCCAGAAGCATCAGCCTCCCCTGTCTTCCTTCTCCGATTCCGTCAGATTGCTGTGAGGTGTGAGCATTTCCAGCCATAGATGCTACTTAAGCTAACAAAGCAGACTGCTGTTGTGTACGTGTGTGTGCATGTGTGCGTCTTTGGGCAACGTGCAGCTCCTAACCACCCTCAGAAGAGTTGAAGTGTTGATCTGTTGGTGGGCTGATGTCTCCAGGCAAAATGTCTTTCTCCCCCTCTACCCCACCCTCTCAAGGAAGCCTTTCACTTTGATCAATACCATGATGCCTCACTTCACTACCTGCTCAATGCTTCAACGAAGTCTGAGCTGTTCTAATTGATTCTGTCACGGCCCCACAGTCAGTGCCAAAAGTAACTTCACTTTTTGACGTCGGATCAGAGCTAGCGTGCACGCCGGCAGCTGTACGGACTCTGGTGTGTTAGATTTCTGGCTGTTGCAGTGATTGAAAGCTGTCATGCACCACTTCTCCTCTAGCAGAGATCTTTGTTAATGAAATGTGCAGCTCAGTGGATGACACCGTGGAGTGTTCTGGAAGTACAGCCTGGTGCTGCACAGCTTATATTTCACCAAAGCCTGGCTATGGTTGTCTCTTGGTCTGAGATTCAGAATTGTTGCCAACATTTGAGGTCATTTGAGGGTCAAACTTGCACTAAGTCAGTTTGACAGCAGCTTGTCCTCAGTGTTTTCTGCTTGTTAGGTCTGTTGCATACATCTTTAATGAACACATTTGGAAAGCTCCTTTTGTTTTGATAAAACGTTTTAAATTGTAGGGTTCATGTTGTTCCCCAAGTTGTCTTTCTGTTTCACCTACAAATTAGACAAGAATGTGCAGTTTTGTGCTCATTCAGTATTTTTTCAGTGAAGTTTAGAGGATGTACAGTTGTTAATGCTGTTGGACTGCACTCCAATGTAAGCAGACTGAAGGTATCTCCATTTGGTCATGTGTGCAGTTTGATACAGCTATGCTAATAAATCATAACTGCAGTATTTTAATGCAAAATCAAATGGTAGTGGTGCTCTAAAAAGGCCACAGTGCATTCACAACACGCAGTGAACATTAATGAATGTGGAGCAATGAGCTCACAAGCTCTGCTTTAAAAGAGTGTTTGAGTTGTTTGTGTGGCGTTTTAAAAGGCAAAGGAGAAATCTGATTGACTGTTATGGCAGCTGATCACAAGCGATGCACAACTTTTTACAGCTTAACTTGTTGACTGTCAACATGTTTGCGTTTCCATGATTATTCAGCTCTTCAGTAAACGTACTTGCTGATTGTGGAGCTTCTAGTGTGACCACAACAATAAATTCCGCAGGTCGTTCCGTATAGTATTAGATGGAACATAGCCAATCCCCCAGTTCACTGTTTCAGGTAGATCACACCTAGTTTCTGCTGCCACCACCGACCAATCTTGAAAATATATGCCCTTTTGACGTTGGATTTTCTTAGAAATAAAGCAGTTTCTTCCTTCGACACAGCTCTGTGCTAATTCATTCAAGGGCTTTTAAAATGTGAGCTGGCAATAGACAGACAGAATGGGGCAAAAGCATAATACCCATTCAACTCTTAAGGTTTAGGTAATAAACTCACCAGCATTTGTTGAAACTCTCAGAGGTAAGTGGAGCCCCTTTTATAGGCCATTTCACTGGAATTGCTTTGCTAGGAAACAGCTTGGGTCCAAGTTTATTTCCAAGCACCAAACACTGCAACAGGAGATAAACTTGGACACGTATAGAAAGTTCTTTGGTTTGAAACAGTGGAATTGTCTCTGGAAATAGTGAGAGTCCTCTTGAAGATTATTTTCCAAACGTCTGAGCTACGGCCCCCCAGCAATTACCTTATCTGTTTGTTTGTTTGTTTTCATAGTATATGATACTTATTATTTTATGATGAGCTTTTCCATTGCAGTTGTCAATGACTAGGATATTTCGCTGTCATCACAACCACATTGGTCAAGCTAGTCATTTAGTGACCCGGCGGTGGCACAGACAGTAACTAGATTATTACAAGTCTCAACACAGCAGGCCTACGCTTCATTGAGGAAGATGCTGAACCTGTGCTTCAGGGTTGTCAGATAGTCTCTAGAGCTAGACAACTTTTTCAGGTCAAGCCACGTGAGGATATTTACGATTATCCAGATACTGTTTTTTTATCGCAATATTGTCGCATCCCCAGGTTGCACACCCCCGTACAAACCTGCGCTAATCTCCACAAGGCCTGATTTGGTGTGAATACGTCTGTAAAGGCTCGAGCTGCAGTAAACATGCCACAGCCTGGCTGAGAGAAAATTTGATTGTCGCCCAGCCCTAACAATTACCCAAACATACCTCTTCCTGTTTTTCTTACCATTTGAACAAAATTATACATTACTTTAAAACAATAGAACAAATGTTAGGAAATATGTGGCACAGAATTTGGGCCGCCCCTAATAGTCTAGTAAACTGTTAGACGACGAAAAGAGTCTTAGTCAGTTTTCATGAGTCTAATATTAAAAAAAATACAAAAATAACGTCAAACAGGAACTGCGCCTTGTCACCAGGACGATTGTTGCAGACCCTTTCTCTTACAACACAGCGCTGCTGAATGTGCTACCTGCTAATGAGCTGCTGCCTCTAGTATAGCTATCCTATCAGCAGACTGCACCAGGACTGTGAGCTCGAAGCAACGGGGGAGTTTTGTTTAGACCACAATCTTTGGACTGCTGGGGAGTGCGGCCGGAAGCTTAGCCAGATAGTCGACTATTGGCTTTAGTCAGGGACAGCCCTTGACAGAATAGTAAAAACTGTACTTTTTGCAATTTAGATATATTGAATGACTTGTAATAAAGATTTGTATTAAAGCTAGGGTAGGCAAAGGAAAAACTCAAGAGAAAGTATCCAACCAAAAAAATCTCACCCCCTCCCTTCAGGTCTCCCTCCAAAGCTACTCCCCCAACACACATGAACACTGCTGGAGTCTACGAGAGAGCGTTGGGGAGAGGAGCGCAGCGCGGTCATTGCTAACCGTACACAACCTCTTGTCTCATTCATACATAGTTCTTTTTGTTAGTAGCCTTTTCCACTTCTGTGTTTCTTTTCTTGCTTTATTTAACACTGCAGGTACAGATGGAACTAAAACCTATAATTGATTTCTGTTGGGATGTAAAATAATTTCAACAAATAAAACAAAAAATTCTTCTGAAATACATTATCTACCATTGCTTTAAAGCCTTCCTAGGTTTTTATTGTGATAGTCTTTCAAAAGTGGCCCTTCATTAGGCATGTCCCTCTCTTTTACAAAGGCACCTCACTGAACCCAGTGTGAGTCTTAACATCATCCTTTGCACACACTTCTGGGTAAAAGCAATTACTTGTCACACACATAGACTGAGCTCATTTCTAGACATTTGACCTCATCAGCTGTCTCCTCCCTGCCCCCATCTCTCTTTTCAGCCAACCAATCCAGCACAGATTTGGGGTAAAGGGCGACTGCATATTATTTTGCTCTCTCTCCTTTTGCCTGTGTGTTACAGGATGTTATGGGGAAAAAGTGGACGATTCAGTAGCTGCGCAATATGTCTACACTTTATCAAAATGGAGGTCTGTACTTGTAGTTTCCTGGGTGGTATAAGATTTTATTCCTGCCTAAAGGTGTATTGTTTTTTTTTTCCCTTTTAGAGTCATTTAAACTTGATAATTAGTACACAACAAACAGTAACAATGAAAGAGAAGGGATGTCACGTGAATAACTTGTTCCAAAAACTTCTGGTTGGATTCAAACCAGTGACTGTTGAATGAAATGCCCCTCAGTCCATTCAATCAGTAGTGCAGCTTCTGGGCTATTGATTACTTGATGTCAAATTGTCTTGGAGGAACAGAGATCTTATTGTCATTGATGTGAACTGAAGGGACCAACAGTTCCATAGCACTCTTTCTGTTAGTAATACTCTCAGTTTAATACGTTGTAGATGCTTGAGTGGAGGTGTCCATTGGCCATGGTGAACTGCTATGATAGCACAGTGCTGTTGGGACCAAAATGAAGCTTGTAGTTCATTTTTGTGTTGATTTTGCTACCACAGGTCGCAAAGATAGGAACACACATTTCCTTTGTAGAGAGAATGCATTGTCAAAGAGCACGGCACATGAATGAATCAAAGAAGACAAAGCCTTCAAAAGGTTTTCCTCCAGTGAACTTGATAATGTGATAGTTTGTTGATCTTGTGCCTGAACCACATCAATTTACTATTTACTATGTGTCTGACATATCTTAAGTATTTCTGGGAATTTTATGTCTTTATTAGGAAGGCTGAAGTATGAGATGACAGGAAAGGATGGAGCAAAGACTTCCAGAAGCCAGGGAAATACACGTTTGCAGTGAAGTGAGGTTGAGATTCCTGTCCTGCAATAAATGCAAGCTTTAGAGTTTGATTCACATTTAGCTCTACTGTATCTAGCAACTAGTACTACTATATTAGATACATTTCCTGTAGCTCTGGTTTGTTCAAATAAAGTACAGATTTTCCATCTTAA